TATATATATGTATGAATACAAGCCAATATTATACTACTAACATATATATGTATTAAGTTTTACAAAACTTGAAGCTTATAAAGTCTATAAGTATTTTAAATACAGTATTTTAAGTTTACAAAGAAAATACAAGATTCATACAAGACTTTTATTAGAACTAAAGTTTACAAGATTATTTTTTTATATTATCATCCTTTGTCAAAGTCAAGTCGATGCTGCTTTTACATTATATTGTTTTTTTGTTCCTAAGCAAGTAGTTTTTAACTTCTCCCCTTTTTTTATCTTTTGCAATGAGTTTCTTTTGTTGTTTGATTTGTTTTAGGGTTTTCTTTTCTTCTGACAAACGAATTTCATTTCTAATTGGAGTATCAGTCAAAATCCTTGTTTTTAATTACCTACTTTTAACACTTCTTTTTCTAGCAGATGCTTTCGGGTAAGGTTTCAAAACCTCAGGTGAGAGTAATGAAGCAATGCTTGGTGTTGTTTTGTTCGAAAAACTTGTTTCAGGCATTTCAGGCTCCATGCTATCAACATGTGCTACAGTCATTTCAGGTTCCACAAGAATTATGTTTACTACATTTGCAGCAGCACGATCTGTAACTGATGATGGTAAATATTTATCATCTTTAAAAATTTCTGGATTAAATGGCTCAATGCCATTTGAAACTACTTGAAATCCTCTCTGTATATTAGATGGTGAGAAAGTATTTGTATATGGTTCGCGAACTATTGAAACAATATCATAAATGGTCATAGGTCTTGGATTTGTGACCATCCAATTATCAAACGCAGCATTGTAAAACCTTTTCAATGGTCTAAAAATAGTTTTATCCAATGGTTGAAATATATGGGTACAATGGGTAAGAAAAGTTAGCCTTTTAATTCCATGTTGAATTGCAAGATCCAAAGCTCTAACAGAAATATGACTTTTATGGCTGTCCAGAAGTAACAAAACTGGAGATTCATGAGAACAGTTTGAATACCTTACAAAATGTTTTTTTCCATTCTATAAAAATGTCTGAATTCATCCAACCAGAAGGATTTGCAAATTCCACACATCCAGGAGGACCTTTCTTTATCATGTGATCATGAAATTTGACCCTAGGAGAAACAAATGGTGGAGGAATAGAGTTTCCAATTGCATTTAAAGCACAACATACAATTACTAATATTCCTCGTTCGGCAGATGTGATTCTTCCTACTTGTTTACTTCCTTTACCTGCTAACACTTCTACTGGCTTTTGTACCGATGTTAAACCAGTTTCATCAACATTATATATGCAATAAGGATCAAACTTATATCAATTTCTCACTGTTTTTAGACTTTTGAAAAATTCTCCTACCGTGTGTCGGTTAAAGGCAGTTGATCGAGTAAAGCTAATTGCTTCAGAACAAGGTTTTATGAAAAGACAACTCTGGTTGTCTTTTCATAAAACCTTGCAACCAATCAATCTCTGGAATTTTATTCTTGATTCATGATGAAGTGTAGATCTTACTACTGTGATCAAAAAGTAAGGTGAATTTTTAATTTAAACTTCCCGCCTTATTCGAATCGTCCAATCTTTTTTATTTTTAAGTTGGTAGGAATGTCATTAACATTTGCGCCAAATTACTATATTAATTAGTATATATATATATATATATATATATATATATATATATATATATATATATATATATATATATATATATATATATATACTAATTAGTATATATATATATATATATATATATATGTATATATAAATATGTGTATATATATATATATTAAAAATAAATATAAATATATATATATATATTACATTTTGTATATATATATATATATATATATATATATACATATATATATATATATATATATATATATATATATATATATATATATATATATATATATATATATATATATATATATATATATAGCGAAGAAAACAATTTTTTTCTGACTTCAAGTCAGTAAAAAAAAAGATTTTTTTTGATTAATTTACTTAAATATTAATTTTAATAAAAACTATTAAATTTTTATTAAAACTTCTTTCTTAACTTTATGCAAAGACCTTTATGCTTTGTATAAAGTTAAAGCATATTCTAAGTAAACTTGCTAATAATGAGAAATAAAAGCGAAAATAATAATAAAAAAGAAAAGCGCCTTTAAGAAATAATAAATTCTACTAAAGAAAAAGACTTTTACTAAAGAGCAAATACTTAAGTTATTTTTATGCACAGCAAGGATTACAAAAACATGTTATTAAATTTTTTTTGTTTTCTTTATTATAGAATTTTAATAATTATACCCAGGGGTGCCCTGGATAAGCTATCCGGCCGGATATCCGGGCCGGATAGGAGTATTATTCGGTATACGATATCTGGTTGGATAATAACTTTTTCCGGTTTTTTTAAATACCGAATATTTCATGTAACTGTGGTTTGAAAATTGAAAGAAAACTAGAAATGTTATATTTTTAAATAATCTAATGTTAATGGTTTCTATTCAATATTGTTATTATCAGGGCTGTGGAGTCGGAGTTGGAGTCGGAGTTGCGGAGTTGCGACATTTTTAGCGGAGTCGGAGTCGGAGTCGCTAAACAAAATTGCGACTCCGACTTCAATAGTAAAACTTCTCGGTATTACACGTGCATGTAAAAAACATTTAATTATAATTTAATTGAAAATAAGGTTATAACCTTATTTTCATGCTAAACTTTTAGGAACATTTCAAATTAGGAACATTTCAAAAAATTTTAACAACTGGAGTCGGAGTCGGAGTCGTTACTTTTTTTTTACAACTCCACACCCCTCGTCATTATTATTGTTACTAAAATGATGCGCAACAAATACATCAATTTATCGCCCATTTATATTTCTTTTACCTCAACGTCGAGGAATTTCTCCACGTTGAGGTAGCTTTGATTGCTTTTTATCATAAATAATGAAAACATCCTTGCGCAAATATAGAGAATGCATGTGGTGCTAGTAACTTAAGTGCTACCTTTTTTAGCAGTGGAAACTTCCCTTTTTTTCTATAATCGAATTGTTAAAGAAAACATCAACTTCCTGAGCAGATTTTACAAAAGAGACTTGATGAGAATTCAATACATTTTGAACTTCCTTATGCAGATGAAGAAGATTTTTAAATTAATTTTTTTTTGCTTTTTATACAATTTACAAGGAAATTTTTTTGCTTGATTATGCAGTGGAGTTGTGAAAAATGACTTCTGATCATATTTATTACATTCCCTGCTTATCTGTTCTCCACATGGAATGCATATTGCTGTGAATTCAACCTATCATTAATTTAAAAAAGCTTCCAAACAAAGATCACCATTTTGAAGGTTCACAGTAATACTTTGTCGTAATAAAATATATACTTGAGGATTTGAATAACATTATCCGGCCGGATAATTTTAAAAAATCCGAATATTCGATAACCGGTCGGATAGTAAAAAAATTTTATCCGGGACACCCCTAATTATAACTTATCGTTAAAAAACAGGTTTGCATCTTTTTCCAAGATAGATTATCTATCTAGGAAAAAGATTGAGGTATTAAGGTACGCTGTTTTACTTATATTGTGTCTGTATTTGTGTATCAAATACTTTAGAAAAAAATCTTACAAAACACAGGAATAAATGTCCGTTTCAACGTTAAATTAAGCTTGTCAACAAAGCTCACAGGGTCAAAACGTTACAAACACGTTAAACAAACTTATAACTGGGGGAAAATAAGAGGTTGGGTGAATAAAAAAGCAATTGCTTTGAGTAAAAGTAAAAACTAAAAAGAAAATGCTCACGGCAAAAGTAATCTTGAAAAAAAATACGTAAAAGAGTAAAAGCATTTGCTCATTTTTATTCACCCGTCCTATAGCTTTTTTTATTTACGCATTTTTTTCATATGTGAGCAATTGCTCAGAATAAATGCTTACCCAAAAAAAAGAGCAACTTTTTTTTTTCAAGTATTTATTCACGTTAAGTTGACCATTTACTCCAAAAACGCTGAGTAAAAGTAATTGCTCTTTTTTATTCACCTAATCTATATAGGTTTTAGAGGGAAAAGATCTGAGTTGCTTTTAACATAATGTAAACCAAGTATTAGATATTTTAAAGAACGGTGCTCCTACAGATTTTTTGTTGAAATGTTTGTTTGAAAATAAACGTAAAAAGGAAATTTCGCAAATTTTATAAATAATATTATTTTAATTATTTAATTGTTTAATACCTTTTTTTAAACCTCTTTTTAATTACATGATGCCCTGCTACAAGAATCGTATTAACACTTTTTCTTAAAGTTTAACTTAAGGTTATCTTAAACTTTATTTCATGATTATTTAATATATCTAAATTATACTTTGATAAAAGATTTTATCAAAGTATATTTTAAATATATAAATATCTACTTTCATCTTCCAATGACTTATAATGTCAATGTCGTCGGGGATGGTTACAAACATTGCGTAACATCCACGTAATTAACATTAGTTACTATATTTCGATATTTAATAATTTTAACACCAAATATCGATGACATGATATCGTCGATGACATTACAAAAAACATGAATAATCTGAAGAGTATTATTTCTTGTAATGTTGTTTTTTGTAACTCATTTTAGTATAACTTTATACTAAAATAAAACCACCATCTGTTGAAATAAAAAATATATAAAGTTTTAACCTTCACTAGAAAAAAAATCTGTTGTGCAGAGACGCGGTATTTTCCAATGCTAGTTACGCGGTTTTGTACTATCCCCGGCGAAATGTACTTATTATATAGTATTCAGCTGCCGAGAGCTGTCATGCCGCCTGGGAGAGCAAACATGATTGGCGCTCTTAATTTTTAAATTTTTTTGCGACCCCCCCCCCCCCTTCCTCTCGACAGCACTGATATTGTTATATAATAAATCAAATTACATATATTGTATATAATATCAGTATAAAGTTTATAATATAATATAGTTTCAATATTTTTAAATCCAATTTTAATTTGTGCCTTTTGTTTAAATAGATATTTTGTCAATGCTTGGCAACATGATGACGTAAAAGTGTATACACTTTCTAGTATTTCTTGTTGACGATACGTACGTCGTTTGATTAAAATTGTTTTGCATTATACATGCATTAAACCTTTTTATTGGAAAACAATTTTTTTTTTATTCATCAAAAAACTTTGTAGATAATTAATGTAAGTTTTTATTTTAATTTTTATTTGTTTAGTTTGGTAGGCATAGCTTTATAATACTTTTTTTATTATTAACTGATAAAACTTTGAAGAAAATAAGACAGGAGAGACGGGGGGCGGGGCGGGGTATTGAAAAGGAGATATATCTTCAGTTTTTATAATACATTTTTTTGTAACGGTATTAATTAGTCAAAAGATGCTTATTGTCTTTTTGATAACTCTAATGAGCATTAAATAAAAACGGAAACTTATAAAAAAAAAAGACTTTTAAAATAATTATTTGTTTCATGGAAGTACTATCTTTTATACCATGGTTAATTTCACATAAAAAGTTTTACTAACTCGCGTATGATGTGTAATACTAGATATTTTAATAAAATTATTTATTATGATATAACTTGATCACTTTTAAGACTATTTTCAAGTATAGATATTTTTAATTATTTAATTTCAGACCTTTTTATTTCAAAATATTTAAAAAAAAGATGGCTGACACATTCAAACCGTATTTACTCAGCTCGCAAAAACAAAGATTTTCAACTGACGAAGCAAATTGTGGAAACGTAAACCTTAACACAAGCTTGGATTTAGAAGACAATCTGAATTTATATAACGCCGAAATTGAAGCCAACGACTATTTAAGTTATTCTTTTAGAGAAAAAATTCTTGGAAAAAATGAAGAACCACATATTTTATACAGCCGGAATGAAAAACCAAATTCATCAATAAAAACACCAAACGATATCGTTAAAAACGTTGCGGATAATCCTTGTGAAAACAACATTATAAGTTCTAAAACTTCTATAGATATTTTTCATAAAGACTTTGACAAAACATCTCCTAAAATTTTTGACAAGAATAAAAAGAACCATAGCAACGATAAACTTTTAAAAACCACTGACCGTGAAATTAACCTAGATAATGGTGTTAGTGACATAAGCGAATTACAAAAAAAATATGATAAGGCAATTAAAGATTTTCGATTACTAAGATTAACTCTTCAAGAAAATATGGAAAGAAACTATAATCGGACAGAATCTACCGCAAATTTAACAAAAAATGTTGATCATTATCGTTCTCAAGATGTTTTACAACTTCAGATGTATCGCGCACAACCCGATGTTGTGCTGCGTCAAAACCTTAACAGGTACTCGTCGCAAGAGAACTTATTCAAACGAAAAAGTGATATAAATCTCGAGGAAAAATTGAACTCTGATTTGTTTAAAAATGACAATAGGATATCATACTTCCAATATAGCAACAGCAACATTGCCGCACAACGAGAATTTCAAAGTGAGCTGCGTGACCATTCAGCAAAAATGAACTTTGAAAGATATCTTAAAGGCAGTTTTCAAAATCTACCATCAGAAGACATCGGATACAGTGGATCTGGTAGCGGAACTCCGCGAGAAGATTTACTTTATTCATCTGATCAATTATCAAGAACTGACAGTATGAGTTCGCGCACAAGTTCAGCCATAGCATCGTTTGATTCTGGTCTTCCCATGAGTTACGTTGGACAACATAATTCGTTAGTTGTAGTAGCTATTGATTTTGGTACCACATTCAGTGGATATGCATTTTCTTTTACCCGAGATTCAAATAGCATTCATATGATGCGTAGATGGGAAGGTGGCGATCCTGGCGTAACAAACCAAAAAACACCAACAACCTTGTTACTTAAACCAGACGGTTCATTCCACTCTTTTGGGTTTGGTGCAAGAGATTTTTATCATGACCTTGACGCAATGGAGTCAAAGAAATGGCTTTATTTTGATAAATTTAAGATGCTATTGCATTCTTCTCAGGTTTGTTTTTTAAAAGTTTTCTTTTTGAATGTTCTTTTCAAATCACAAAATGTGTTTCCTAAAAAATTTCTTTCAAATCATAATCTTAACAATAACTAAATATATATTTAAAAATAGACAAAAAACGGCATTAATTATTACTAATATTACTAATATTACTAATATTAAATATGCTAAACTTATTTTTGCAAAATTAAAGTAGCTAAAAAATGTTTTTTAAATTTCAAACTACGGCATTTTTGAGTGCGAAAAAGGATAAATATACTTTATTACGAATTAAGTTTTCGTCAACAAACTGAAGATAGTATAAGGTAATGCACAGAGCTTTCCCTTACTTATGTTTTTGTGATTCTTTTTAACAAAGAATTCCAAACTGGAAAGTTCAGAATGTTCAAAAAACAGTAATGTTAAAAGTGTAAACTCTATATTACTAACTCTAAAGTTAGGAATAATATTATTGTTTTCTATTGCTACTCGATTACACAGATGGTTTACTTTTCCCAAGTAACGAACAAAGTATTATGGATATTTAATTATATAAATATATAATAATTTATAGTAAGTCAACGTTTTCTAATTAAAAGTAAAAACTTTATAAATAATCAATACAGTATTAATATATAGAAAAAGTTCATAAAATAAATAAAACTTATATATAGGAAAAATAACTTTGACCTGTATTAATGAAGTAACACCCTTAAACCTTTTACACTCTAAAAAAAAGGTTAAAAGTTATACCTTAGGGTAGGATTTCTATATATAATAATATCTGGTTAAAATAATGCATTATTAGTTAATATTTTTTTCCAGATATTATTACATCTGAAAAAATTTTTTTATGTAACTAAATCTAATTAAAATAATGCATTATTAGTAAATTAATCTTAAAAATAACTTCATCTTAAAATCTACAAATGTAGTTGCACAGATGTTATTACACTTTGATAATTTAAAAGGTGTAGCTACATGTTTAACATTTATTTAATTTTTGCACAGATGTTATTGACATTGTTATTGACATCAATAAAATTTCAGATGTTGTTGCACAGATGTTATTATATCTCATTATATTTACAAATGTTGTTGGACAGATGTTGTTAGACATGGTAAAAACTGATGTTGTTACCGTGACCCTTATTTTCTACCTTAAAGATACAATTTTCTAAATTAGAAAGAATTTTATACAATATATATATATATACATATATATATATATATATATATATATATATATATATATATATATATATATATATATATATATATATATATATATATATATATATATATATATATATATATATATATATATGTATATATATATATATATATATATATATATATATATATATATATATATATATATATATATATATATATATATATATATATATATATATATATATATATATATATATATATAGGAAATGGAGGGGGGAGGGGCTAAATGCAGTGTCCGCCCCTCCCCCCCCAGTGTTTAGTTGGGGGGATTATCGCCCCCTCCTTCCCCCCCTCATCATATTCCTACGCCAATGTATATATGTATATGAAGATAGATTCAAAATAAAAATCTTCAAAAATATTGCTATCATATAAAAAGTAATTTTTTTCTGAATATCAAATCTTTAAAGGAATTATATATATTCTTATTTTATGGTTACACACTTTACATTCCATACTTTGCTTGCTTTAACATTTCCTGGTCACAAACTAATCATTAAGATTAAAAGTCTTTATTAAACAGTCACACAAATTGTGCGGAATTATCTTGTCCCATCAATCACATTTTTATGTGTTTAAAAAAAGGGTTTAAAAAATAAAAGTATAAAAAAGCAGCTTTAAAAAGATTTTCTATGTTCTCTCCACAACATTACTATGTTCTCTCCACAACATTACCATGTTCTCTCCACAACATTACTATTTTATCTCCACAAAATTATTACTTATAATTTAGATTTTAATGCAGTAGAAAAACATTACTGTGTGGGACATAACAGTATTAATGGCCTAAACTTTTGCAGAACATAACAACCCAGAGGGAACGCGTCGTCCGGGGGACGTTCATCGAACGTCTCACGAACGTTCAAACGTTTGTCAGACATTCTAAGAATGTTTCCCGGACAACCCATGCCCACTGATAAGATAATTCAAAAAAAAGTAAAGATAAAAAAAGATACTTCTAACTTTAGGATTTACCGAATACTTTGTTTTTTTTTGCTCTTTGATCTCTCCTTCTGCATGTAATTGGAGATGATAGTTTGTAAAAACTCTACTTTTAAATAAACAAATGAAACTTAACAACTAAACATAGTTTTGCTTGCTACTATGCTTTATGAAATATATAGGTACTTTATTACAACATAAATACAACATAAATAAGTTTTTAGTTAACTTTATTATACCTATTTTCATTGTAAAGCTTTATTTATTATAAAGTTCTTAAGTTATATTTTGGAACATTGTTAAGTTATATTTTGGAACGTTGTTAAGTTATATTTTGGAACATTGTTGTTCGAAATTATAATTTAATTAGTATCTTACTTAATTAAATATTATGAAGTTTTTTTGAGAATAAACTTTCCATATATTAAGGGGATCGCGGCATCCTGGTGGTGGGTCCTTAGTCGACCACTTTTTTCAAAATTTTTATGATGAAATATAAAACTAAGTATAAAAATATTAAAATTTTTTTAATCCCCCAAATAAAAACCAGCGTCGCGTAACTTTTGTTTAAAAAAAAAACGTTATTATTGTTTTTGGAATTCGATATATAATTTTAAAGTAAATTCGTTAATATAAAAAGTAGGAATTCAAATCAAAGTGATATTATTACACAATAATTTTTTTTTAATTAGTAACTAAGTTCAATAACAACTCATAGCTGATATAAAAACTGTTTTTTTTTTTTTAAAACTGATCTCTTTTTTTGAATAAAGAATTTTTAGGGATCCCTACTCATGATTCACTTAGATATTTGGGCACCCGAAAATTAAACACAGACGTTTTAAAAAAGTAGCAAAAGTCCTTTTATTGCCCAGACCACTTGGTAATATGAGCACTTTAAATTAGCTCAAAAAGTTTTGTTGAAACAATTCAACTACGTTTTCCGCAAAAAAAAATTAAATAAAATAAAATTATGTTTTGAATTTATTCAAAAAGCTATTATTTTTGCTAAAAGCAATTAAAACCACTGCTTATTATACAAAAATGGCATCTTTAAATAAAGTCAAAACTAAATGTTTTTATGTATTGTTTTTCAAACAAAAATGAATAGGATTTTAAGCTAATACAATTTTTTAATGAAAAAATCAATTTCATTATTTTAGCACCGAAATCAATTTCATTTAGCAAAAAAATCAATTTCTTTATTTTAGCACCAAAATTTCGCGCCACAGATTTATTCATGCTTGATGATATTATTTTAACAACGCTAAAAATTCAATAGGGTTTTAATTAGATGATAGCCACTAATTACTGCATATAAATTTATGCTAATTGTACTGATTCCTGTTATCACCACATTATGCGATTCAAAAAATACAAAGCAACTTTAACTTCACTGCTAACATCTAAAAAATCTTTAAGTATGCTCATATTACCAAGGTGTTCATATTACCCTACCCTACTCTGCTTGATTTAGACTCACTTGTTAGTTTTCTAGCAAATAAACTCAAAAAATTGAGAAATTCCAGTATTAACTTGCAACTCTAACTTTTTTGTAAAACACAACTTGTAACTCAAACCTCCACAACAAACTGTTAAACTTTCAGTGACCGTTAATGCAACTTCCTTTTTCTCCCGCTCAAATAAATATAAAATAATATTATTAAATCTATAATATATAATAAAGCAGTTTTTTTAAACTATTTAAAAAAAAAAGTGATAATATAATAAAATATTTGTGACAAAACAGGTTTTCTAGATTTTTTATTAGTCAGGGAAACTATAACAATAAATAACTCAAAGCACGTTAAAACTATAAATGTAATGCAACTTAAATTTAATTTTCCCATAGGATTTGCGCACTGGTATTGAAATAAAAGCGTCAAATGGGAAATTATATCCTGCACTAAAGGTGTTTACTTACGCTTTAAAGTTTTTTAAAGAGCACGTTTTAGCCGAACTATCTGATCAATCAACTGCACAGCTCTGCGAAGAAGACATAACTTGGGTGCTGACTGTTCCTGCGATATGGAGGCAACCAGCAAAACAATTCATGAGAACAGCAGCCTATGAAGTAAGAATTTTTGTAATTGAATATATTACTAACAAATTTTCAATAATTTGGGGAGAGCGGGGCTCCATGGTACATGGGGCTCCATTGTATTAATGGAGCCAACTTAAGAGTTGTGATTATTACAACTTTTACTTAGTTTCTATTGAATCCTTGTTTTGAAAAAAAAAAATCATGACATCATCGCGCGAAGCAAATTTTTTCGCTATGACGAAACGCTGTTTTGATTTCCACTAACTTTCTTTCGCGCTATTTTTTTGTTGTTGTCAACAATAAAAATGGCAGCAATAAGTTTACGCTGTATATTTAACTAAAGGCAGTTATTACTTTTTTAACATACTTTCTACTTTGAAGCATTTTAAAATTTCTTTCTGTGCATTAATATTAACACTTTTGCCTTTATATGTAAGATGTGATATTATTTTGTAATATAATCATTTAACATAAGGTTTTTTTTACAAGAAAGTATAAGAAAATAAATGCTAAACTCTGATATGAACATTTTTATTAAAAACTGTTACTGCAAAAAAGAACAGCAGGTTTAACTCTATGTAGAATTTTTCACAAAAAGGTTTATCTTGGTGTGGCCACTTGAAGATAAACATTCTTATGAAATGTAACTTTCGTAATTGACAGTGTGAAAATTTATATTTGTAAATTCTCGATTTAGTTTTATATATAAGTCGGGTCATTTTTTTATGTAAGTCTTGCCCCTTGTTTGATAAATTTACTCATGCTTGCCAATTTTCAGAGTAAGTTCATTTAAAATTAAGAATTTTGTTTTTTGTTTCTTTCAAAACAATATATGTTTTCGCTGCTGTAGCGAAAAAAAAGCCAAAAGTGTTTAATCTGCGCATGCTTAACGATGAAAAAAATAATAAATTAAGAAAAAAAAAAGTGATTATCATAACGCTTTTATTTACACCTTTTAAAAAGACTTTGAAAACAACAGTTGTTATGATATTATATATATATATAATTAGCTGATGTTAAATTTTTTGGTTTGTTAATTTTAGGAAATGAAGCATGTTCAAAGAACTCATTACAAAAATATCTAACGTCACAAATTTTTAATGCTACAATTGTATGGTACGTCAGTACCACACAATTGTAGTTTTATTCCTGTAGTTTTATTCATAAATAAATTTAATTTTTTAAATAATTGAATTAAACTTAAATGTAAACTAAAATGAACAATTGACATCAGGCTGTAGTATTTAAAAAATCATTTAGCGAATCACATTTTAGTTAATCGCTTTAAACAATCTGATTTAAATATGAATAATTAAATACCTTCAACGTGAAATAAATAAAAATCAAAACAAAATGTCGCAACAAAATAATCACCTTTAAAAGAAATTAAAAAAAAGATAACAAAAAATAATCAAATACAATCCCAAACAAAGCAAAAAGAAAGAACCAGTGTTGCCAATCTGGCCAGAGCCTCCTTCGATCCTTGAACCTATGATAGTTCTAAGCCAACTCTAATCACTGCGCCACGGCTAAAAAAATTAGATAGGTAGGGCAAATAAATAAGTTTCTGGTAGTATTTGCAACTCATATTTTTTTTTTTAATTAAAAAAAAAAAGACTTTGACGTGTTTATTGCCATCTATCTACAATTCTATTTCGAATGTCATCAAGTCTTTTGACATCTTGGGGTACGTGGCTGTCTTATTTGCCAAGTTAAGAAGCTTAAACTTAACGAAAAACATCCTTTGATACCAAAAATACTCAACGAAGGTGACATCTTCTAAAACCTCTTTACTTCTTAATCATAATTGGTTAGATCAAGTTGAGGCAGATCAATTTGAGGCAGAGCAAATTGCGTCTGTGGTGATAGCAACGAAAGATTTTCCTAGGAGAAAAAAAATTCATGCTTAGTCAAGCAAAATGATAATTATTAGTAACACCAGGCAAATTTACTTTTTTTTAAATTAAAAATTGTTTGAAGTATAATCAGTAGTTTTATCCAAAAAGAAGATAATAATATTTAATATAAAAATTTCTTTTATAATATTTAGTTTAACATATAAATATTAACATATAAGTCTAAAACATTTAATATTTCCATATTACTACATTTTAAATACATATGGGTTTGAAAAGTGATTACAATCAGTTGTTAACACAATATTTAATTTTTTTTAGTAGTCTCACTATCTGCACTAAAATTAACAGTTGATGTTAAATGTGCAGTTAAAATATATAAAACGGGAATGACTAAACTTATTTTGACTGTCAACAAAACGGTACTAACGGGAAAGGTACTGCTAGACAAAAGTTACAGCTACAACTTGTGTCAAAACTGTAATTGATGTCGCAGGGTTATTTTTGAAAATAAACTTGGCAGTTATCAAGATAATTGACAAGAATGATAAAACATGTAATACTATACAAAAATATGTCACATGCTGACAAGTTTAAAATACAGGTATTAAATGTCAACGGTTTGCTGCCGTTGTTAAAAATTTACCTGAAACATATGAGATAGTAGGAGTGCTGATGAATATCAGTTCACTAACAATCGTACATTCTCATACATTTTCTTTCTCATGAAATAAATGATGTGGCATTTTACATTTAATAAGATCTAAAAATTTTCAATATCATATCAATATCATCAGTATCAGCTGAGTTACTACATTCAACTCCAGCCATGCTCATTTGGGTACATTCAACTCCAGTCATGCTATTTTGGGTACTTCGAAGACAAAAACTATTAAGTAACATTAAACATAATCAATAGACTTCATTGTGTTGAACCATTTTTCACTCGGAATCTTTAGTAAACAAGCAATTGAAAATTGCACTCAAAAATCAATGTTGATTGGGAGGGTACAAGTGCTTCCCAATCATTAGGAAAATGGAAATGTTTTTAACTAAAACTAATTTTGTATATGAATATTAGATATAAGTTTTCAATTGGCAAAAATTTTAAAATGTAACCAGAAAAATACTTTTAGAAACTAGAAAAATATTTATAGGTAGAAATACAATAAATACTTATCTCGATCGTTTTGAACCAAGATTATCTTGATTTTGCGGTTTTTTAAAGCAGTTTAAAAATTTATTTATAATATAAACAAATAAAATATAATTCAACTTTATTCTTAGAATCTATTTGTGTTCAAAATTAATTACCATTTAATTAATGCAATCCTATCAAACTGAGGGGTTTGTGAGTTTCACCATTTCTATACGTCAAAAGATTTTGGAGTTTCATTAAAGAGCTTTGATTAACTTTGATCTTCCTTAACAAGAGTCAAAAAAGCAAAACTTTTGGGGTACTTTTGCTTCTAAGTTCCGATTGACGTAGTTTTTTGTTAAACAACATATAATACCATCATAAATACACATGTTTGAAGTTTTCGTCAACACAAAATCCGAAATCCGGCGAATTTCGGATTTTAAACGCAAAAATATGGCTTTGAAAAAATTTTATTTGGAAGGCAAAGTTTTGTTTTAATCAAGTCGCAAACTTTTTTTTGTTTGTTTTGCAAACCTTTAAACTTTCACCAACCGATTAAATTCGACAGCTTTTTTTAAGTTGTTTAGGTTTAAGAATTTCTGATATGAGAATTTCAAATGGTTCTCTAATATTTTAGATTTTTTCGTTCAACATTTCCATAATTGAATTATCATATTGACCTAAATACTTAAACCCATTATCATTTTTATACACTTATTTATGTTTGATAGTTTGCTTTTTTGTATAATTTTTTATTTAATAGCTTTCTTAGTTTATTCTTTTTACATTCCACCCTTACACTCTCAATCTTTAATTTCCTCATAAAAATAACAATAATTTTAGTTTTTAATATTGTTCTTAATGTAAAAAGTAATTTTGTTGAAACAAAAAATTTATTAATTAAGGCTGGCATTGCATCTCCGGCTCATCCGGACCGTTTATTGATCGCACTTGAACCAGAAGCTGCTTCAATATTTTGCCGTAAACTAAGAATTCGAGATTGTGTAATTGAAGACGACTTAAAAGCAAAATTGGGCAATGATTCTTTTATTTCCGAAGAGTTTGAAGGTAAATTATAAATGGGATAAAGATAGACATGTATGATATACATTTACAAAAATATTTATTTTTAAAGTATTGCGTCATTTACTCAAAAAAGGTTTTATTATATACATTGAAAAGAGATTGAATCTAACTATTTCGTTTAGGAAAAACAGAATATATTGTTGTTGATTGTGGCGGTGGTACCGTTGATTTAACCGTACACGAACTTGATGTAAATCAAGGAACTCTCAAAGAACTACATAGAGGTACTGGTGGCCCGTGTGGAGCAACCGGTGTAGATAGAGAATTTGAAAATCTCTTGAAAAAAATATTTGATCCCGATTTTATTGAAAAATTTAAATTAAAGCGACCTGCGGCGTGGATTGATCTTATGATTTCTTTTGAAGCAAAAAAACGAATGGCTAGACCAGAAAATGAAACTCCTTTAAATATATCTCTACCTTTTAGTTTTATTGAATATCATAAAAAACACAAAAAAATATCAATAGAAACAGCCGTAAAAAAGTATAAAAGTCCAGATATAAAGTGGTCATCCCAAGGAATGTTAAGAATATCTGCAAAAATTATGAAAACTTTATTTCAACCCGTAATGGGTGCCATTATTGAGCATATTGAAAATTTACTCACACGACCGAGTCTAAAAGGAGTAAAATACTTATTTTTAGTCGGAGGTTTTGCTGAATCTCCTCTGCTTCAAAACTCAATACGCGAGTACTTTGCAAATCGTGTTAGAGTAATTATACCTAATGACGTTGGGTTAGCAATTCTAAAAGGTGCTGTATTGTTTGGATTAGACCCTACAGTTGTGCGTGTAAGACGATCTGCTTTGACATACGGTGTTGGCGTATTAAATAAATTTGATCAGGAAAAACACTTGCAATCAAAAAAAGTTATAAAAGATAATGTAGCATGGTGCAAAGATATATTTGATCGTTTTGTTCGCGTAGATGAATCTGTTGGAATTGGTGACTGTGTAACAAGAAGCTATGCACCAGCTCGCTCTAATCAAAAGTCAACAGTAATTAATATATACTGCACTGAAAGCTCAGACGTTTTATACACAACAGATCATGGAGTTCAAAGGTGTGGAAAGATCCGTATTGAAATGCCAGATATAAAAATTGAAGATATTCGACCTGATAAAAGAGGAAAACCACGCGAATTGCAAGCCTCGATGTTATTTGGAGATACAGAAATAAAAGTATCAGCTGTTGATATTCTTAGTGGTAGAGCTGCTCGGGCAACCATAGATTTCCTTAATTACTAAAGTTTTCATTTATCTATTTGCTGTTTTGGGTTTTTCGTGCAAACACTGTAAATGAAAAATTTTTGAAAATGAATTATATCGAACAATAAAAATACATCAAGCTATAGGAATCAAATCGAACTATATTATCATGCAATGAACATTTGACTTTAATTTATTAGTTATTTTAGTTATATAATTTTAAAACTAAATTTTATGTATAAAGTTTTTTTTTATAAATACTAATATTTATTTATAAATAGAATGTAAATTATTTTTAATAAAACTTATTTTTTACTTACATGAACACAAAAATAGTTGCTTTGTGTATTATTATGCATTATTTACATAAAGAAACTTTTAAAGCGTCTACTGTTAGTAAATTTTAGCAAATTTAATGACTGAAGGTATTTAATGGTTATCAGGTAAAAAAATAGCGATTTTTGTGAAAACGTCTGTTTTTTAGTTTATTAGCCAACTTTGTGTAAAATTTAATTGACTTTTTAACCATATATAACATGATATGGGTTTAATAATAAAAAAATGTAAAAAAATTATTTTAGTTGGTAAGAGCAAAAAAAAATTACTTAGCAACCGCATAGCAACGAATAATTTTTAATAGATATATTACCCAAAAAACTAGATTTAAACAATTATTTCTTTTCATGGGTTTGTATAATTAATTAAACTTTTGAACCAGAGTTATTGTAGTAGTTTCTTATATTTCAAGAAATTTTTAATTAATAAATTGTTTTTAAACTTTGAAGCTTGATTTCTCAAATGTATTTTTTTGACTGTGAAAAGCGAATCATTCATATCTTTTCAACCAGATTAGCAAATGAGTTCAAATTTTCAGGGTTGTTTCTTTATAGATAGAACTGCAATAGCTTACTAGAACTAATCTTAAACTTGTTTTCATTTGAACATATTGATATTTTACTATAGGTTTTTGTATCAATAATTTCCTTTAAAATTGAAAAAGCTGCCATTTTAAAATAATTACTATTTTTAGTTTTTCTAGTAAACTTTTGTTTATTACACTATAATCTATCAGTGTTGTAAGTTTTAGCTTATAATATCATAAAGAGGTTGAAAAAGTGTTGTTTCCTTTTTCATCGATTTTTTTGCATTTTATGCTGGTTCAGCAAAAAAAAAAAAATTAAACTAATTTTTTTGAGCATTTTTGATTATATTAATAAGTATGTTTCTTTTAAACTAATTTTGGTATATGATTAAGTTGGCAATCGAAAATTAATTTTTTTACCTGATAACCACCTTACCACCTTAAGTAACACTTAAATTAAACCACCTTAAGTAACACTTAAGTTGCAAATATTTTGTTGTAGAAACTGCAGTAGTTATTATTTGTTGTAGAAACTGCAGTAGTTATTATTTGTTGTAGAAACTGCAGTAGTTATAATTTGTTGTAGAAACTGTAATAGTTATTATTTGTTGTAGAAACGGAATTAGTTATTATTTGTTCTAGAAACTGCAGTAGTTTTTATTTGTTCTAGAAACTGCAGTAGTTATTATTTGTTCTAGAAACTGCAGTAGTTATTATTTGTTGTAGAAACTGCAGTAGTTATTATTTGTTGTAGAAACTGCAGTAGTTATTATTTGTTGTAGAAACTGCAGTAGTTATTATTTGTTGTAGAAACTGTAATAGTTATTATTTGTTGTAGAAACGGAATTAGTTATTATTTGTTCTAGAAACTGCAGTAGTTTTTATTTGTTCTAGAAACTGCAGTAGTTATTATTTGTTCTAGAAACTGCAGTAGTTATTATTTGTTGTAGAAACTGCAGTAGTTATTATTTGTTGTAGAAACTGCAGTAGTTATTATTTGTTGTAGAAACTGCAGTAGTTATTATTTGTTGTAGAAACTGTAGTAGTTATTATTTGTTGTAGAAACTGCAGTAGTTATTATTTGTTGTAGAAACTGCAGTAGTTATTATTTGTTGTAGAAACTGCAGTAGTTATTATTTGTTGTAGAAACTGCAGTAGTTATTATTTGTTGTAGAAACTGTAGTAGTTATTATTTGTTGTAGAAACTGCAGTAGTTATTATTTGTTGTAGAAACTGCAGTAGTTATTATTTGTTGTAGAAACTGTAGTAGTTATTATTTGTTGTAGAAACTGCAGTAGTTATTATTTGTTGTAGAAACTGCAGTAGTTATTATTTGTTGTAGAAACTGTAGTAGTTATTATTTGTTGTAGAAACTGCAGTAGTTATTATTTGTTGTAGAAACTGTAGTAGTTATTATTTGTTGTAGAAACTGCAGTAGTTATTATTTGTTGTAGAAACTGCAGTAGTTATTATTTGTTGTAGAAACTGCAGTAGTTATTATTTGTTGTAGAAACTGCAGTAGTTATTATTTGTTGTAGAAACTGCAGTAGTTATTATTTGTTGTAGAAACTGCAGTAGTTATTATTTGTTGTAGAAACTGCAGTAGTTATTATTTGTTGTAGAAACTGCAGTAGTTATTATTTGTTCTAGAAACTGCAGTAGTTATTATTTGTTGTAGAAACTGCAGTAGTTATTATTTGTTGTAGAAACTGCAGTAGTTATTATTTGTTGTTTTTATTTGGATTTAAAATAGCTTTAATGATTAAATCCATTTTAAAGTTATCTTTTGTTTTAAGTCGTTTTTTAAAATCAGATAAGCACCTGCAATATAGTTATTATATATCAGTATATTTGTTAATTAATAAAAAAATTAACTGAAATTTGTTTTACAAAATGAATTTAGTTTTAGTTTTGGTAAATGAAAATAGAAAAAATAGTATACTTGTTATAGATAATAAAAATATAATTTAAATAATAAATTTGGAATACGAGGAGCTTCTAAAGCAATTTTTATTTGTATTGACTTATATTTAGTCATTCTGGGTAACTTTGAATGCTTCGCGCTAGTTTTAACGCAAATTTTTTTAAAACTCATGTTAATGTTATTCTTTTTATTACAAATATTTTTGCATAAAGTTCTGATCTTCTCCTTTTTCTAAATTTTTATCATTTATTTTAATTTGTTAGTTAGTTTTTAAGAAAACAAAGTTCAAGTGAGAGTTCAACGTTTCACCGGCATTTATGGTTACTTTGAATACCATTAAACTGAATGTTAATGTTATTCTTTTTATTCTGAAAAGTTGTTTAAATTTTTTCGTATTATATAATTTAAATATATCTAATAAGAATATTTCAGCAATAACCAAACAAACTCAATTAAATAATGCAAATCGTTAAAGTTGTTGATAAAAATTTGTTGTAGAGAAATTTTTAAAGATATTTATATATAACTCTCTACTCATAAGCATCATTTAATATAAAAAAATAAACATTAGTGTTTAAACAATTACTTAAAATAAAGTTAAATATCTTTATTTTACATTATATCCACGTTGTACTTGTTACCTGGCCTCACTCTATTTATTTCGTTCTCTATTATTTTAAATAATTGAAAAATAGTTTTATATGACAACCCTGCACACGTTTCCTTGAAATAATACAAGACACTTTTTCTTTTAACAACAGATCTTTACCTTGACAGACATCCGTTGTAGCAATGGGCCGTTTCTACCATTAGGCAAAGCTAGGAAGCAAGTTTTTCAGGGCAGCAAACTTTAAATTTATTTTTTTAATACTAACATTACTAATTCTCAACTTGACACAAGTGATCAAGATATATAAAAAACAAAATCATTTGGGATCTTAAAAACCAATTAGAATAAAACTACATGTAAAATTAACTGATAATAATTTATTAAATAGACCCAAAAACCAAAGTTAAATAAAAAATTATTAGAAAATTCATTTATTAAACTTTTTTTTTTACAATGCATTTTTAAAGTGCGTCTTGTTTATCTATAAATATTATTTATATTAAAAAGCTTTGTTAGCCGATAAAGCTGCGGTTTTTAATATATCATAACCACTGATCTCAAAATATAACTGGATAGCGGATTCTATTGTTTTTTCCGAAAAAAGTTGAAGCCAAAATTGGCCTCCCAAGATGGCGGCGATTTCGATAGAAAATAATTAAATAAGGCTAATAAATTTGTTCAAAATAAAAGAAAACAAATTAATTTTATAAATATTAGAGAAAAAAAAAATAATTTTTTGAACAATTCAATTTATTATGAAATGGCATTTACAATTTTAGTTAAATTTTGTGTATAATTAATGTACCTTTTAGTTCTTAGTTACCCAATGCTGTATGCTAGAAGGTTAACAACATAACAGCATGGTAAGCAGCAATCATCTCTACCTACAATTTTATATTCTCTATTTTTTGTAGCAAGATGCCATTTTGTACAAATGCTGCATGAACTATTAACTGAGTGCTGTCAGTATACAGGGGTATACAAACTCAGGGGTTCCTTCTAGAAATATATTATAATTCTATTATTGCATAAATTATTTGAATAAAACATTCTAAAGTGTCACTTATGCTGGTAAAAAAAACAGTTCTGAATTATAGTTATATCAACTTTAAAAAAAATAAAAAGTAAATAATCATTTTGTATAATTTAAAGGATAATCACTCAATAGACACATCCTCAGTTGGATGTATGCAACAAATTTTGCATACACCTTCAAACAAACATTTTTTTGAAAAAACAAATTTATTAAATTTTTGATATAGAAATATGCAAAACACCTTTTTGAAATATCTCATTAACTAAAGTTATTTTGAGTATTTTAAAGTTATTTAAAGTTATTTTGAGTTTATATTATATTATATTTGAGTTATATTGTTGAGTTTATTTGCATAAAAGACTGATTACCTCATACATTAAATTCACAAAACCTATATGCAGCAATGCTCTTTGTTTTCTATTTCTTAACATGTTGTACAATTATATCATTAGTCTTAAAGAGATTAACTGTTACGCAAATGAATTTGTCTAGTCTAAAAACTGGTTTCATTGGATATTCAGCAGCAAATAAAATATATATCTCGACTGAGAAGAAAAAGAAGGTTCATCATAAAGTTATTTAACATATAAGCTCAGTCAAAACTATCTAACAAGTTCATTATTGTGCTTATTTAGTTGTGAGATTTGCAAGAATGTTTAACAACAATATCAATTGCCAACAATTTACAGCCACATTAAACAACTCTTGATATGAAGATAGAGTTCATTTTTCATAGTTTATAATAGTTTATTTTAAAAAGATATATTAAGCTGCCTACCATGCAGTTGTGTTATTAACCTTCTAGCACACAGTATTGGTAGTTAAGAACTAAAAGGTACATAAATTTGTAAAAAAAAACAAATAAC